TCACAGGCATGACCCAGGCCTTCCTGCCACACTGTCTTACCTGTAAATTTGAACCCCAAGGCTTGACTCTTTTTTTTATCCTTTTCCTAAAATTATCTTTGGATTTTTTTTTTCCTACAAACTAACACACATTCACTGTGGACAAATTAGAATACTTAGAACATCAAAAGGAGAAAGAATAAAAACCAATCATAATCTCACTGCCTGTAGATGACCACAGCTTATATTTGGGTTAGAAGCTTCCAGACATTTTGTATTTTATAAAAATGAAATCATCCATGCACTATTATAACTGGTGACTATTTAAGATCCACATCCATTTGCCTGTGAAATGTACTTTGTTTCCAGAGAAACTTAACCTCCATTTGCCTTGTCGCCTGTCACTGCTTTCAAGAATGCCCCCAAAGGCATCCCAGACACCCAAACACCCACGTCTGGCTCATTCTTCCCACGGAGGTGGGACCACCCTGAGTTAGGGAGGCAGAAGACATCCTGGCAGGCAGGTGTTAGGCTGTTAGGCAGGAGGTGGGAAGAAGGGCAGCCGTAGCTGTTGCCTGTTCTTTCTGGCCATGTCGTGGAGAGCTGTCCTCAACTCCCACCCCGCACTCGCTGCAGCGCGCAGACTACCGCTCCCACCCTGGCTTCTCCTCCCCACCAAGGACCACTCACTGCGCTGCCGGGGGATGCACCAGGGCTGGCTGGTGTCCGAGGGTTTGCTGGCCCCCACCTCGTTCTTGGCCACCACCCGGAAGTGGTACTCATAGCCCGGGAGGACACCCAGGAGGGTGAAGCGGTTGGTGTAGACGCGGTCCGCCGCCTCCCGCCAGCGGCTGTTCACCGAGGAGCGCGTCAGGACAGCGTAGTGCAGGGGGATGCCCTGGGCCTCGTCTGGAGAGGGCTCCCACTCAGCTGTCACCGTCCCAGGCACGTTCTCCTGCAGGCGGATGGGCCCTGGCGGCTGGGGACACGCTTCAAGAGAGGGAGAGGGGAAGCCTGCGTTGGAGGGGACCCAGCAGGACTACTGCCATGACTCTCCCCCCTCCCGTCCCCCCCCCACCCCGTGGCCCTATGTCTTGGGGGATGGGTCTCAGGGAATGAAGTCCCAGGTACCTGCTGGGACTTCATTCCCTGGGACTCCCACCCCAAGAGGTAAGGCCACCGTGGGGAGGGCCACCGTGGGGAGGGCCATGGCAGCAGTCACCAGACACCAGAGGTGTCTACTGCTTAGAGGATGGAAAATCTCCCCAAAAAGAATAATTTTAATTTACTGTAGTTTTTAAATAAAATGATACAGGACATGGAGTGCTTTTTTGGACAGGTAAGGCCTTCACTGCCAGTCTATTTCATCATTTCTGTGTATCCAGAAACTCCTCCAGGCAGGGGCTGTGTAGGAGTTACCCCCAGCAGGACAGCTTGTGCAAGGACCACAGGTAATTCTGCCCACCGGGTTTCCAAGTGTTGTAACCGTGATTCAACTACCTTTG